CCCCACCCCAAATCAATTCAACCCAGCACAATCCAACCGAACCAAATCAAAGCCAGCGTCACCCTGACTGTTACGACAACACGCACCCGAACAACCATTCAAACCGCAGACTGTGGCGAACTTCTATCTGGCGTTTGAACAGGACCTCGCCCTGCTGCCCGTCCTCAACAAAACAGACCTGCCCGCCGCAGACCCCGCCGCGATTGCCGCCCAGATGGCGACCGCCTTCGACATCGACCCGTCCCACGCGGTGGCAGTTTCCGCCAAGACGGGGGCGGGGCTGGATAAGCTGCTGCCCGCGATCATCGAGTGCGTGGCGGGAGCAGCCGGGCAGGCGCCTGTCTGCGCCTGCCAGTCTCTGCTTTGACCGAATGGGGGGTCGCCCCACAGCGGAGCTGCTTGCTGCCTTTTGACTGGACCCCGCCCCACAAGCCTGGTCGCCTGCTGTGAACCCCGCCGCCTGCGGAGCAGCAGCGCGGCGGGCCCCGGGCCCCCGACCGCACGTGGGTGTCTAGCACCCATCACGCGCCGCCACTGCTGACGCGCGTGCTGTACGGTGTGACCCCGCCTGCCGCGCCTCACAGGAGGATCCCTCCGCCCCAGGGGTCCGCGGCGCGCCCCTTCAGGGCGCTGCTGTTTGACGCCTTCCACAACGAGTACAGGCGAGGGTTGAGGGGTTTGGGGGTTCAGGTTTCATGTTTCAGGTTCCACATTTGTGTCTCATCCGGACATGCTCGCGCTGCATTGCGTCAAAAGAGGCTGTTATTGCGGCATCTCCGTCATAGGATTGCAATTTGATTTCATTCGCGCCTGCGCCGTGCTGCGCGGCCTTCGATGCAATAATCTATGTGTGCTGAATCAGTTGGTGAGTCATGAGGCGGCGGTGACGTCATTTCAAATTCAAATCATCACACCGCTGGCTGGGTCGCTCCCAGGGGGGTCGTGTGCCTGGTGGCGGTGGTGGACGGCGCGCTGTCAGCCGGCGACCGGCTGGTGTCGGCGGCGACGGGGCAGGAGTACGACGCGAACGAGGTGATCTGGCTTGATCTCGCGTGATCTGATGCGATCTGCCGCGCAGCACGATCTGGCATTGCTGGCAGGCCGTCGCCGCGGGGACGGCTCTGAAATGCATGCTGCAAATCTGTTAGCGCAAGGCGAGGGCCCTTCTTGCAAGTTTATGTGGCTTCCAGGGCCCTCCCCACCCATTTATAGCACCTGCCGTCCGGGTCGCCCACCGGAGTTTGTGCAGGTTGGCGTGCTCGCGCCGGAGCCGCACCCGACAGGCGCCCTGCTGACCGGGCAGGTGGGCGCTCCCTCCCCATTCTTATCGGTCGCCTGTTGTTGTTGCTAACCCGTGAGCCGCGTCGCCTTCAGGCAGGAAAGCAAGCAAGCGGCGCATGTCGTATTAATTTCCCTTCAGAAGCTCACGCCGCATTTCAACACAATCTACGCTAAACTAACCCACTCTAGCATAATCTCTCGTCGCTCCCCACCACCCCCTGTGTCAGGTGGGTTACGTCATCACCGGCATGAAGGAAGTCAAGGTGGGTCACCGGGTGACGGCGGGGCCGCGGGGCGCCGCGGGGTGTCGCGCGGGCGTGCAGGGCGTCGCGGCGGGCCGCCTGTCTTGGGGCCGCCCGTTCCCGTCCTTTTGGGTTTAGGGCAGACCATACTTCCGGGGTTGCACAACATACGGCAATCATACGGCAGTGACCACCAATCCACGCTCGTCGTGCACGGCTCCCTCTACCCGTTCCGCTTCCTACTCTATCGCCCCCCGCCCCCGGCCACGTCCCGGCTGCCGCCTGTCTCACCCAGGCGGCCCGCGTGGGGGACACCTGGCACGCGCGGGGGCGTCCCGCGGAGCCGCTCCCTGGCTTCAAGCCAGTGCGGCCCATGGTGTTTGCAGGTGGGTGGGCGCGGCGGCCGGCATCGCGGCGCCGTATCCTTGGCGTGCGACAGGCGCTTAAGGCTGGGGCACCCGCGTCTGTCGCGTCTGCGCGTCGCCTTGTTGAGCCGCAGGGCTCACAGCAGGGGCAGCTTGGTGCGGGACGGCCTGATGCGGTGTTGCCACAAAGCCTGCTCGCGCTCGGCGCGACAATCCCGTCCCTCCAGTGAACGGAGGGACGGGGACTCGCTGACTCCTGATGTGCAGAACACGCCACAAAACACGTGTTTACAATGATCCAACACCTGCACATACATATGATAGCACTGACACACACACACACACACACACACACACGCGCGCGCGCACGCACACGCACACACGCACGCACCCACACACGCACACACGCACGCACGTGTCCACGCACCTGCGTCCACGCCTTTTCTTGCCCAACCGAACACGCGACCTCTTTCCCTACCCACCACCCTCTCCCCCCACCCTTGCCCCCCGTAACCCTCAAAGGCCTGTACCCGGCGTCATCGGATGACTACGAGGACCTGGCTGACGCCATAGAGCGACTCACACTCAACGACGCCAGCGTGACAGTCAAGAAGGAGAACAGCGACGCGCTCGGGGCGGGGTTCAGGTGCGCTGTCGGACGGGTCCAAAACGATCACAGTGGGGTCTGTGGGGGGGGGAGGGCGCCGACGGTGACAGAAGAGGCATGGGGGGGGGGGGCGAAGCCCCTTTGCCCCCACCTGCTCGCATCTCTGCCGTGAAACACCCACGAGCCCCACCCCGCCCCTTCAAAACAACCACGCCGGCATCCCTTTTGCTTTCAACCACCAGGTGCGGCTTCCTGGGCCCGCTGCACTGCGAGGTCTTCCTGCAGCGCTTGGACCAGGAGCACGGCGCAGCGGTCGTCAGCACGCCGCCCACCGTGCCCTACGAGCTGGAGGTGGCGGGGCAGGAGGGGCGGCTGCGGCTGGAGTCGCCGGCGGCCTACCCCAAGAGTGGCAAGGCGCGCTGCAGCTCAGCATTTCGGATTCGTAGGCTAGCTGCACGCTGACCACACTATGTTGTCTAAACCACGCTTTGCCGCAAAGGGATGCGGTCATAAGTGGGGTTTGGGTTTGGTTGTGTGGCAGGCTTGCGTGTATCGAGTGGTGGCGCGCGGCGCGGCAGGTGAGTGTGGCTGGTGCACGGGTGAGGTGGGCGGACATCGGCTGAGCTACGCAGCTGCCCCCTGCAGGCGACCCCTCGACTCAACACGATCTGGAGCGGTCACCGCCGTTTGGGGCCCCCACACCACACCCGCCTTACTGGGTCTTCCTGTACTCCCCCTCCTTCTCCACAGCTGATAGCACGAGCCGGTTTTCTTCGCCCCACCACCAGAAAGCGCGCCCACCTTTGCTCCTGACGGCCTTCACATTGACACATCATTCTCTGTTCTCGACAACCCTTGGATCAAGAACGTCTCGCAAAGGGGCCAGGAACCCACCCTCAACCCAAAGGGAACCACCCTAAATCCGCCACCCATCCATTATCATGCGGTACGCCAGGTCATGGCGGTACACGAGCCGACTGTGCTGGCCACCATAATCGTCCCCAGCGACCTCTGCGGCCCCGTCATGAGCCTCTGCCTGGCGCGGCGCGGGGAGCAGCTAGAGCACTCCTTCCTCACGGGCGCCCGGGGCGGCAGCAGCAGCAGCAGCAGTAGCAGCAGCAGCAGTAGCAATGGCGGCGGCGGCGGCGGCGGCGGCGGAGGTGGAGGAGGAGGAGGGGCGGCCGGGCTGGAGGCGGACGGGGCAGGCGGGGCGGCGGCGGGGAGCGGGGACCGCATGCT